CCGATTTCAATGAAATTCGGTACATAATATTTTCTTAACACCCTGATGACATGTACGAAATATGGGTTAAATCGGTTCACAACCACGCCTTCTTCTTCTTTGAATTCCATCTGATGCCTTCTCTGTATAATATATACATTAGGAACCAATGATGATAGCGGAATAAAGCTTTACACAAATACGGTATTTCATGCGAGAGTATAAAATGTTCGGTGACACCCGAACTTAGCCCTTCCTTACTTGTTCCAAATAGTCTAGCACAGAAATATGCAACGTGTGGAAGAAAATTTCGACCTGATCTACAGTAGTCTTTGTAACGACTGATAGTATGGATTCGATTTTAATACCCTCATTAAAGAGCAGTAGAGGAATTTATAACCTTACTGGGAATTTAGAGCGAATGTTTTAAAAAAAATTATAAATATATGGGGGCTCAGGGAAGTATTGATATACAATACCATTATTCATACACAGAGTTACTATTGTCAGGAAAGGATTCTTTCTGAATTTCAATTGTACTACATACATATACCATACATTGATCGATATTTTCGAACAAAAGTCAACTATAGGTACCGGAGATTACATAGTCAGTACCTAGGGGCTTGAACAGTTTTTGTTGGATTTGGACAATTTTTGGTTATAATGTAGCATGCTCTAAAGGCATTATTCGTGCTAAGATTTATCCATTATTTAATTGCTGCCTCTTGATTTGAACACTGGAAAGTTAAAGAATCAGATGGAAGTGTGCTATATGGAAAGTAGGCGTGGTTGCAGTCCGATTTCGCCAATTTTAGATATAAGGATAGTCACGAGATATGTGATTTAGTTATGGCACTTTCTATATTTTCGGTTAATGGGGATTTGTGGGCGTGGCAGTGGTACGATTACACCCATCTACGAAGTCGAACTTTTTTGTACTAAGAAACCTGCATACCAAGCTGCATTAAGATAACTAACTTTTTACTCAAGTTACAGCTTGCATAGACAGACGTAAGGACATACCGACGAAAGTACCCAGTTTTCAACTTTTCCATCTCGCTTAGTTTTAGGTGATACTTACAACCGTTAGTTGAACAAAACCTTTATACCCTGTAGTAACATGTTGCAAGAGCAAAAAAATATTACTTTCGATTCAAGCTTTCAAGCTTTGAAAAAACGGGTGCACCTTAATGTTAGCAATCAAAAAACAGCAACAAGCAGGCATTGCATTGCATGAAGGATGCCACTGTTTATGGCAGTCTGACGTGCGTCAGAGAGTGCTCCAATTACAAGCAACAACAAAAACAAACAAAAAATGGAAAATACGAAAAAGCAACAGGTAACACACTCCAAGCGGAAGGTGAGCACAAAAGCGTAAAAAAATCAGTTAAACAACTTATTAATGGTACAAAAAATTAATTGCACGAATATGTGCGTGCTGCTGATCATTTATACATATATATATGTGTGTGAGTGTATAGTTGAGTGGAAGTGTGCTGAAAGGCAAGTAAAAACTATGGATGCTGGCAAATCTCGGGTATCAGTTCGGTATGCGTAGCGCAAATCGATCACACGGCGGAGTAGAAGCTGTTGCCGATCATGTCAATATATAAAAATATATGTTGCTACAGACATATGTATATATGTCTGTATATACTGTATGCTAATATTAAGCCAAACACCAGAGGTTGTTTGATGAGCTTTAAATAGTTCTCAATGCCTGTGCGTACATGTTGCCGACGAAAACAACTTGCAACACGCAGCGCATACACACAGACACGCAGAGTGGAGTAGAAAAAGTGAAGTACTGAACTCCTCAGCAGCATGCAGATCAGCCTTTCAGCGTGCATGTGGCGTTTAAAATTAATTATTGCAAATTATAGTGCACAACTGCAACAACAACGGTGGCAACAAGACATGCGATCGCAGCAGCGACTACTTACAACATTGAGAAAATGTTTATAAACATTCTACGGCTACAAATACATCTATGCGAGTGTGTGTGATGCTGCCGTTGATGATCAAGCGTTGATTGTCGGTTGTTGTTTTGATTTGTTTTTTTGTTGTTTCTGCTTACGCTCGCGTTGTTACAAGTGTTTATTAGTGTAGATGCAACAGCTTAAACGCTACAACTTCATGTTGCCAGCTGCCAGTGACAAACTAAACGTTGTGTGGCTATGAAGTGCCGGCGCATACGAACGCTGCGAGTACAAAGCGCCTGCGCACACACCAACAGACATACTACAACAAATAATTCTGCAATTCGCCGCTTTATGCAGCATCTCCTCTGCGGCGTTACACTCGCGCGTGTTTATTGTGTAATAAATATAGAAAAATATATACAACAATAACAACAACAAAAGGTGCAACTTCAGTAAAGTTATTGCGGGTAAAAGGCTTAATGCTTCGCTAATTATATTCTTATTGTGCGCTAAGAAAGAAGTGAAATAATAGTATAACAACAATAAAAACAATTGCTGTTGATCTTCCGCTTATAAAATACAGTTTACAGCAACATAATACGCGCTGTTGAACAATTTGTTGGTGGAAACTGTTTTTATATACCCCGAACCAAAAAAATTATAACATACAAAAATAAGAGACGCAGCTCTAAAAAAATATTATTCAAAAGTTGAAAGTCCTGTCCAATTGTCCGTCCGTAAACTAAACGCTCAGTTTACGTGATATCAATCTGAAATCTTGCTCACGTCCTTTCCTCATCAAAGAACTCGAAAAACGACTTTTTTTCGAACTTTGTCGAAATCGCATATATCGGACCACTATAGCATATTGCTGCCTTATAAACTGAACGACCGAAATCAAATGCTTGTATGGAAAACTTTCGCATTTGACGAGGTATCTTCAAGATCTTTTATAAATATTATTACCAAAGGGAACACCATAATTCCTGAAAACATTTTCAGATCGGACCACTATAGCATATTGCTGCCTTATAAACTGAACGATCGAAATCGAATCCTTGTACGGAAAACTTTTTTATCTGACAAGATATCTTCACAAACTTTGACTTGTATTATTGTCCAAGGCAAGGCTACAAACTTTAGACATGCTGCTCAGAACGGATCACTTTAGCATATTGCTGCCATACAAACGGATCTGCAAATATGAAGTCCCTCGTTGGAAAACTTTTTTATTTGACGAGCTATCTTCAAGATATCTGGCATGGATTATTATTCAAATCAGTACCACAATCTCCGAATAAATTTTTCAGATCGGACTACTAAAGCTTATCGATGCCATATAAACTAATTGATCAAAATCAAGTCTTTGTAGGCAAAACTTTTTTTTATGACTGGGCAAAATCAAAATAAAGATTTTTTTATTCCCTTTTATGCTACAAGAAATGCACCTGTAAAGGCTATCATAGCTTGGAAGTTAACGTTCGTTTTTTCTTTCTTTTTTTGTGTAATTTAATGAGACCTTCATATGTCGCAAAAAACGGTTTATTTAACTTGGCTTGCTCATGCGCCGTGATAATTGCGAATGCTTTTATTCTTATAAGTATGTTTGCTACTTCTTCTTTTGACGCATCTTAGCACCGTTACGGCTTTCTGTCATAGGTAATGCCGCTATGATGCTTCAGATTAGATTTTTACATACATATGTACATAACATACATATATCTAAATATGTTTACATTTAATTCTAAAAATTAAATGCAAAAAAATCTAAAAATAAATTTAATAAATAAAATATTGTTTTGCAGTAATTTCACCTACCTTAATTCCATTTACATTGTACAATTAACTTCCGCCACATTCGACTGCGTCAATTGAGACCTATTTGTTTGTTTAGTTTTGCACCTCTGCACATCTGTTCCACTCGATTGGGTATTCAAATGCGCATGAAGAGATTTTCGCAAATTAATTTAGCTGCAAATTACTTGTGAATATCTGCAATAAATAAATCGGAAAAAAGATTTGGAATCTGTTGAGAGAAGCAGCTTGTAGTATTTTGCTTAATTAGTAGTACAAAAACAACAACAAATTGTAATGAAATCTGCCTAGGCAACTGGGTTACATGAGCATTACGATTTTGTTGTAAAAATTAATAAATAAATATTTTTAGAAAAAATATATTGCAGAATATTTTCTGTAGGAAATTAATTCACAGTTTTGGTGAAATAGTAAATTGAATGTACTTATTTTTGAGATTAAGTATTATAAAGTTTAGTCATTCTTTCTTTTTTTTACTGGCGTAGAAACCGCTTACGCGATTATAGCCGCATTTTCAACAGCGCGCCAATCGTTCTTCCTTTCTGCTGTTTAGCGCCTGTTGCAGATCCAATTGCAGCCAGATCCTTCCCACATGGCCTTTCCAACGGAGTGGAGGTCTTCCTCTTCCTCTGCTTCCCCCGGCGGGTACTGAGTATTCGAAGACTCTCAGAGCTGGAGTGTTTTCATACATACGGACGACATGACCTAACCGACGCAGCCGCTGTCTTTTAATTCGCTGAATTATGTCAATGTCGTCGTATATCTTGTACAGCTCATCGTTCCATCGAATGCGATATTCGCCGTTGTCAATGCGCAAAGAACCATAAATCTTCCGCAGAACCTAATATTGAGTGACTTTCTTTGTTCGTCGAGAGAGAACTTCACTTTACAGTTGCGAATTCAGTCTGAAGTAGCACCTGATGGCAAGAGTTATTCTGCGTGGAATTTTGAGGCTGACGATGTTATTGGAGCTAATGCTGGTTCCAAGATAGACGATATTATCTACGACTTCAATGTTATGACTTCAACACAAAGCGGCTTTTCATGCTGTCAAAAGCAGTTTTAAAATTGACGAAGAAGTGGTGCGTGGCGATTATCTTTTCATGGGTCCTTTTCAATATTTGGCGGATGGTGCATATCTGGTTAGTTGTTGATTTTCCAGGCCTAAAGCCACATTGATAACGTCCAAACAGTTTGTTGACGGTGGACTGCAGTCTATCCCACGGTCGTTGGCGCATATTATGGGGTCTCCCTTTTTGTGGATTTGGCAGAGCATACTTAAATTCCATTCATCAGGGATGTTTCTGTCCAATCATATTGCTCTTTATCAGTTCTTTGTCGCCGTGTTTGAATAGCTCCATCGGCCTCCGCCGCTTTGTTTTTCTTCAGACGGGTAATTGCTAATCGAACTCCTTTATGGTCGGGCAATGCAACGTCCGCTCCATCATAATCGATTGGGAGAATAGGGCTCGCCATCACCAGGTGTTATTTCACTTTCACTGTCATTCTGTAGGCTGGAGAAGTATTCCCTCCTTAATTTCAGTATGCTCTGGGCATCAGTCACTAGATCACTTCTGGTGGTGCTACAAGCGCATGCTAAGACTGAACACAAATAGCAGTCTACTTAAATATTTCCTTCAGAAAGATGTTGTCCTCAAGAACTCATAAGAGAAATGATTTCTTAGAGAAAAGATTCATGGAACAGCAACTACTTTCTATTTTTTTTTTTTTTTTTTTTGTTTTAAATAGTAAAACATCGCCAGATGGGCAAAATCAAATATTTTTGAATCAAAAATAAATATGTAACGAATTATAATAGATCCTTAATTTTTATATCTATCATGTTAAGAGCAAACTATAGATTTTTATCGGAAAATATAAAAATTAATTTGCGCTCTCAACAGACGTTTTTTATTGCTAAAAATATACACGTATGTATGTATGTAGGGCACATGTTAATGACTATAAACCGATTTGCACGTCCTCCAATTGCCAATAGTGCAAATGAGCGCATAAAAACTTATTACCAATAAACTTGTTCTCGAAAATTTGACATTTATGGTAAATCGACAGGCAGTTTGACAGATAAAAACAACAAACAAACAGAAAAAAATAACAATAATACTTAGTATAATGCCAAAAATAAAACTGCCAGCCAGCACACATATGTTTGTATGTATGGGTTCGTATATGTACATATGTGCAAACTACATATATTTTATTGTATGTTAAGCATATGCATTTTGGAGCGAGCAACAAGAATTAGACTCTTGTAGCATGCTTGTTGCAAGCACTTTGCACATATCGAGTAATTAAATTAAACAAGTAATGCTTTTTTGCTGGCTATGCAGATGTTCAAACAAACATATGTGTATGTGTATGCGTGTGCGTGTAAAATTATGATCGCTTGTGCATAAGTCATGCAAGCGAAAATAAACTTAATTATTCATATGAGCAGGTAAATCGGTGGCAACATTGTGAGAGTGCGCCAGTGGGCCGCAGAAAAAAAAATGAACTTTTTGTTCTTATAAAATTTCACTTCCATGCTGCCAACTTGCACTACTTATTTTACATATATTTACATACATGCATATGTATATATTTGTGGTTGGAAATTATCTATATAAATAGCTATGATGAGCTTTGTCCACCTGCGCTGCAAGGCAGCCAAATTTTTTGAGTCAAAACGCAAATTTTTTGAGATACAGGAATTTTTCAAGATTAATTTTTTGCTTCACAGTTGAATATTCGAATCTTTATGAACTTAACGGGCAGGAAATTTCTTCCGATTTTATATAAAATTGTAATAAATCGAAAAAATTTTCCTTAATTTAGGATTTAGGGGAATTTTTTCAAAATTTTTTATTTACTAAATATTGTCGGTGACATGAAAATGTATATGTAAAATATAATTATATATGTAGCTTATAGTCTCTACAATATAGAAATATAGTATAGTCATGAGTGATCGAGATGAACATTAAGTATATGCGATTGCATAGGCGAGTACCAAGCAATGGTTTGGACAGTTCTAGTGATTTTTGCGACATTTTTTTCAATTTCACAGTAAAAACTAGATAATTGGGGCGTTAACAGTTCATACTGGAAAATACCGTATACAGTTGAATTTCTTAAAGCATAAAAGTGTATAAGAAATCGTTTTCTTTATTTTTTTATTGTCAGCTTGTATGGCAGCTATATGCTATGGTGCTCCGATCTGGAATTATTTTTTTTTTGTTTTTTTTGAAATTATAACGTTTTCTTAGAAAATCTTCCATCCCAAATTTCGACCAGATATCTCATGAAATAAAAAAGTTGTTAATACAAGAGTTAATTTTGCATGGCAGCTATATGCTAAAGTGATCCGATTTGAACTATACATATATCCGGAAATTATAATAATATCTTGGACAACAATCTATGCCAAATTTCATGAAAATAACTCATCAAATAAAAAACATTTCCATACAAGAACTAAATTTTGATGGTACAGTTTTTATGGCAGCTATACCCCTTATACATAGTAGTCCGATATCGGCGGTTTTTATGTATAAACAGCTCAATGGGAAGAAAAGAACGTGAGGAAATTTTCAGAAAGATATCTCAAAATTTGAGCGACTATGTTCTTTATAGTGCGACTGATGACTGGGTATTAAAATCTTCGTGCCAAACCCTCTTCAGACTATAAATATAAAAACTTTGCAACAATCATTTTATAACTATAAAGTCAGTAATCAAGACTTACACATACATACGTCCTTATAATATGTCCAAATAAAATTTAATTTTTTAGATCTTTATTACCAGTATTCACTGTTCTTCTTTCCACTTAGTACACAAAAAGTTAAGATTCATTTAAAAAATTTAAAAGCTAAAGAGAAATTATTTTATTTTACCCCAGCAAATATTGAAAAATATTTTTCAAAAATAAATCACATAATTATTTTTAGCAATTTAACTCAATACCGAAAAATCTTACAGTCCATATACACATACACGCCCACAAATGCTAGAGGAAAGGGGAAGAGTAATGGTGAGTAGCGCACTTCGGCCGAGAGCGTGAATTTCTTCAGAGGATCTCTTATTAGATTGACCAATATAGACTCTGAGCAAATAAAAAAGTCAAAATGATGGGTTGGTTTTGAAAATCCAAATAATATATTTTTCAAAATTTAGTTACCAAATTCTATAACGGTTTTAAAAATTTAAATACTTCAACTATTGCCAATAATTAACTTTTTTCCCAATCAGGACAGGCTTTGCCGTTGCTCCAAGCTTAATTTTGCTATAAAATATTTATTACAAAATTCATTTACCAATCGTATTCGCGTTCCATTGTTCGGATATCAATGCTTTCTAATATCAGTGAAAGGTTTGTGAGCCAATTGATGCATACATTTACTAGCAAAATATAATAAATTTTCTTAGAGTTATTAAGATTTGCATTTTTTCATAAATATTGTCTTAAAAATAAAGAGATCAACTTTCCTTCCAATTCCACTCAACCATAGCAATATTCTTGAAATTCTGTGGATAGTTTTTTTCAACTTTTTTGTCCTATTTTATGATGTGATTTGCAAGTTTTCTGGCAGAAGATAAGACTCTGAATATTAAATGGAATTTGCATAAAAACCATTACACAAAATAAAATTGTAGCGAATTTAATTATGGCTCTCTAACAGTTGTAGAAAATTATCGTTAGAAAGTCATTCTGACTTAAAAGGACTTAAGAAATATATCACAAAATCTTTTCAGTCTTGAATTCAAGTCGGAAAATTGATTGAATCCAATATTTCCTTATATAAATTAATTATAAACATTTAACCACTTCAACTTTACAACTCCAAAACTCCCATCAATTTCTTGCAAAACAACATCTGCCAGCAGAAACGAACTCAAAAAACCAAAACTCATGCAACAGCATTAAATGAACCCCATCAATTTGGCCTCCAACCACGACGACTGTGCAGTCGACGAATTTCCCAAAAATAAAATCGATGAGTTTTCCCACAACACAACAAAAACATAGCACAACAAACACAGCGCATACAACAATGGGCCGCCACGAATCAAAGACGAAGTGTTCCACGAATGAAGAAAGTACTCTCACGCGTTGTGATTTAAACATATGGCGCACAGCATTTGTGGTACATTGAGCAATATATATATAGAGTAAA